AGCCGACGTCAAGAAGGGTGAGAAAGGGCTATGAGAGTCCCAAAGGTGGACTGAAAGATGTTTAAACTGATAATAAACAATAATGCACATAAAGTCCTCAACTGAGAGAAACTGTGACACCGAAGCTCTAAGAAATTAAATGACAGTTTCAAGAATTTTTTTTTTTTTTTTTCCAGAACCGGGGATTGAACTCAGGCTGTTGCGCTTGCACAGGAAGCGTTTGTTCCACTGAGCCATCTCCCCAGCTGAAAGAAATTAAATGAATGCCAACTTTAGAACACATGATCCAAGCTACACAAAGTCACATCACAAGGACATTACTACAAACCAGTTAGAAAAAGAAAATATCAAGAGTATTCAGAAAGTGGCATATAACATGCAAAGGAAGAAAGACAAGCCTGGCAGCAGGCTTCTAAGCAGATACAATGTCAGTATGACAGGGAGGCAAGAAACTTCCCCAAAATAAATTTTGAAGTGTTTCCTTCTGAACTATGACATTCATATCCCAATATTTTAAAATTCCTATAGAAAATACCATAAAAAGAGAATTATGTACCCAATATGCAGTGCGGGCTGGTCTTCAGCTCACATTGCAGCCCAGACCGGTCTGAAATTTACAACCATCCTCCTGCCTCAGCTTCCCAAATGCTGGGATTAAGCATGCTATAAACTGCTACTTCCTTAAGAAAAGAAGACAGAAGGGGCCAGGGAGATGGCTCAGGGGAATAAGCGCTTCTCTGGCGAGTGCAAGGGCCTCAGTTCAATCCCTGGATCCGCGTTAAAAAGAAGACAGAGGAGAGCATACATAATTAGTAGGTGTCAGGCTCTGTGCTTAGCACTTTGTATGACCTCTCCCAGCAAACTTGTGGGCTGGTTAAGTTATGGATGTTGTTACTGCCCATTTTATAGATGGGCGTATTGAGACTTGGACGTGTCAGCAATGTGGCTGAGAAGAACCAGCCTGTGTGGACCTCGGACAGCAAAGTGTTTCTTGTTCTTCACCTCTTTCCAGTGTTGTTTTCAGGAAATCATCTTAAGATTAAACGATTAAAAATTAATGCAAAATGAGGACTTTTTGGACAGGCAAAACCTGAAGCCCTTCATCACCCAAACACCAGAGGGAACAACAGTCCCTGAAAAATGTTCTCTA